ATTGTTATTGTACAGTAGTAGAATATTTGTAGGCTCTTTCTTAGGTGGTTGTATGTTTCTGTCATTTTTTAGATGAGAAGAATAAAATGCTAAGCACTAAGAAAAATTGTGATTTTGAGTTATTAACCCCATCATAAAGAATATAACATTTTTAGCACTCATGTGTGAAGAACTTTTATGTCATAGGAGGCTGGGAGAATTAAAGAATTAAGTATGACATCTGTGATTCTGCTAAGATTTTTTTCTCTCAATTAGAATACTTTTTTTGTTATCATAATTTCTTTTTAACATGCTTATTCTCGTTTGCATTTCATTTATCTTCTTTTAAGATTGTAATTAGGAAGCACTCAAGTAAGGAAGTTCAGGTTAGCTTGCTTAGTATTAGTCCATTGTTTCTCCTTTGGAAATGCATATATTGTATAGCCAAACTACTTATGTGTATTGTAATTTAAATTTTTCTAGAATGTGTACTTACATGTTTACATTATACTCCTTACTTGAGTGCTGCTTATGTAGTTAGTTTTTACAGACCTAGAAATAATGAGCAAAGATTTTTTTAAAAAAGATTTTATTTTTATGTAATCTCTGTACCCAGCGTGGGGCTTGAATTTACCTTGAAATCAAGTGTTGCATGCTCTACTGACTGAGCCAGCCAGGCACCCCAAAATATTGAATAAATCTTGCCTTGTTACTTTTAAACAAGCTTTGGGGAGGAAACAAATTCTTTTTATTTATTTATTTTTGTTTAAAGTTTATGTTTTAGTACTCTGCACCCATTGTGGGACTAGAACTTATGATCCTGAGATCAAGTGTTGCATGCGTCACTGACTGAACCAGCCAGGAGCCTGGGGAGGAAACAAATTCTGATGTTAATGTGTTTCTTATTTCTTGTAGAGATTCACAGTTCCTCTGTACTTGGTCCAACTGTTACTGATGTTTTTTGAGCAAATAGCAACACTTGAACGAAGGAAAGTTATTTTATTCTAATACCCCTTTTCCCCTAAGTTGTATTGGTTATTTAGGAGGAATAGGCCATTGAGAATCTTTTTTTTTTCTTTTTTTTCCCCCAACATATCAATCATTGTTAAAGTATGAGCGTGCTCTATTTAACTGGTTAGCTTCTCTCAACTTCCCCATTGCTATATATAATGTTTCTTGTTACTCACCAAGAACATATCAAAAGAGGATTTTGTTCTGGAAAATTTTAGCCAAATTCTTTTCTCTTAGAATGTTTAAAATTTAAATGTAAAGGCAGTTAGAATGTATTGTTATCAAAGAAACTACTTTTAAAATTATAACATAATTCTGAATAGTTCAATAATTTATAAAATGAACATTTAAGTGGTGTTTAAGCCCATTTCCCTGAGAACAAGACAAAACTGAAACTCTGTGGATACGTATTAGTGTGTTTTCTTTATGTAATTCTGATTCTCCTGTAAATGAATTTGTAGAATTAATCACTGTGGAAGGAATCCTTTTTGTCCTTCCCAGGTGAAGCTCCCATAGGTACAGTTGGGTTGTCCTTCTGGGTTGCTTTAAGGGCACTTTAGCAGTTTTAAAAACTTAAGTACTAATTTCATAGCCAGTGTCAGCTGGATTTATTGAAGTAGGTCAGACTCTGGATAGAAACTTGTTTCTGAACCCTAAAGAGAGTCATTATCCATTCTTCTATTTGTTAGAGAATGGTAATAAATTCTTCCACATTGACCACAAGTCTAGAGCAATTTCAGAAAATCTAGATAGTTGGATTTTTTCAGGTATAGAAAATTACCTAAGATCCTCTCTGACTTTTATTATCCCCATGGAGCTAAACAAAAAATAAAGGCAAATAAAAAATAGAAATCAGTTCCAACCCCCCCCTCCCCCAAAAGAAGCCATAGACCATGGTTGTATTCTTTAAAATAGAAACAAACAGGGGCACTTGGGTGGCTCAGTCGGTTAAGCATCTGACTTCAGCTCAGGTCATGATCTCACGGTTTGTGGGTTCTAGCCCTGCATCGGGCTCTGTGCTGACGGCTTGGAGCCTGGAGCCTGCTTTGGATTCTGTGTCTTCCTTGATCTCTGTCCCTCCCCTCCTTATTCTCTTTCTCTCTCTCTCCTAAAAATAAATAAATATTAAAAAAGAAATGAAACACATGCATTTCTAACCTGTAAAATAGACATACAAAAATTGCAATTCATTGGGGAAATATTTTTCCTTTTTAAAAAAAAATTACAGGTCAATTTAATTAAGTTTTTTTTTAAGTTTATTTAGGTTGAAAGAGTGAGCGCAAGTGGGGGAGGGGCAGAGAGAGAATCCCAAGCAGGCTGCATTTCTTCAGCGTGGAGCCTAACCCAGGGCTTGAACTTATGAACCATGAGATGATGACCTGAACCAAAATCAAAAGTCTGACACTTAGTCACCCAGGTGTCCTGATTAAATACATTTTTAATGAAAGTATGCACTATATGCTTAGCAGTATGTTTCCTTTGAACTCTGGAAAATCACATTCTCTTGTGTTCATAGAAACGAAAATTCTTACTTGGGTAGCAGTTAGGAAATTGTATAGTCATGTGACAAAATATGTGATACTGAAAATACATTATAAGGAGTCAATAATCAGTGAACAATGTGTGTGTGTGTGTGTTTTTAATTTAGAGAGAGAGAGTGAGTACAGGAGGGGCAGAGAGAGGGAGAGAGACAATCCCAAGCAGGCTCTGTGCTGTCCTCCACGTGGGGCTTGAATTTACAAACCGTGAGATCATGACTTGAGTCGAAACCAAGAGTCAGACGCTTAATATGCTGAGCCACCCAGGTGCTTCAGTGAACAATGTGTTTTTAATTTATAAGGGAAGGTTTCATGAAGGATTTGGAATTTGAGATGGTTCTTGGAAGTTGGATATGAGTTGTTGTAAGGGATATATAAATAGGGAGTAAGTAGCATGAACAGAGGCTTGGAATTTCAAAGTGTCAGACAATAACTTAAAAATGTTTTGGGCAAGAACCAATAGATGGGCACTGTGTTAAAATAGTTGGCATAATTACTTGGTTTGCCATCACAGATGGCACAGTTGCACATCTGGTTAAGTGGAAAATTGGACTCAAAATTTCAAATCTCTTCAACTTGAAGTCCTTGCTATATCACACAGGTTGTCTCAGCATCTATGCTTCAACATCATTTATTGAGAATCTAGTAGGTGCCATTACATCTGAGAATACAAAAATGAACAAGATATGGTACTTTTTTTTGAGAGAGAGACAGGAGTGTGTGTGTGTGTGTGTGTGTGTGTGTGTGTGTGTGTGTGTGTACGTGTACGTATGTCTGTGTACTGTGGGTAATTCCTTGTGACAGTCACTCTTTATATATGCTTTGGAGATGTTAATCTGCTTTTCCCATGATTATCTCAACAGTGGGGTTATCTCCTTGGGTGGAGATGCTAGCCATTTAAGAATATTGGTATAGTATAGCCATTAAATGCACAAAACCCTATTTAACATAATTTCCAAAGCTGGAGAAAATATGCTTTGGATTTGAGTGAATTTTAGTACATCATTCTCCAGTGTGAAATTAATTATTCCCGGTGGATTAATGAGTATATTTGATTGTATGTGATTTTCAATTGCAGATTTAAAAACCTATGACTCTAGGTGTCTGGGTTTCTGACAATTTTTTAGTCACCTGCTAGTTAAATAGTGGATGTTCACAATTTTCGAATGGAATTACCTTTATGTCATTTAACATGACTTAAGGTTAATAACCCACTCACACATGTTGCCAACAATATAAAACTGGATTATGGAGCCAGTTTGCCTGGGTTGAAATCCAGACCCTGCTACTTAATGCCTGGGTGACCATTGCCTCTCTTTTCACCTGTAAAGTAGGGATACTAATAATACTTCATTGTTGTATCTGGCACATATTAAGTGCTATCAATTGTTAAAGATCTATTATTCCGTATTTGCTATTTTGAAATAAAAAAAGCCGAAACTGATAGTTTTTATGTCACTTATTTGACAGCAAATCCTGACCTAACTAATGTCTTTTTCTTTTTTTAAAATTTGTTTTAATGTTTATTCATTTCTGAGAGACAGAGAAAGAGTGTGAGCGGGGGAGGGGCAGAAAGAGGGAGACACAGAATCTGAAGCAGCTCCAGGCTCTGAGCTGTCAGCACAGACCCCGGATGAGGGACTGGAACTCATGAATGATGAGATCATGACCTGAGCGGAAGTCAGACGCTTAACCCTCTGAGCCACCCAGGTGCCTCTACTAATGTCTTTATAACATATAGTATGTTTTGGTTCTGTACTGAACCTTGTTATTTGTATTTAGTTTGCAAAAGCCCTTTGTAAAGTATAGATACTCATTTTTATTGTTTTATGATACTTAGTGGACAGTCTTTCTGGTGAAGTAAAAATAAACTTGGATATTTTAAAATTAGTATTATTAACTAATTAATGTTAATAATATCTTGTATTTATTGAATGTTTACTGTGTGCCACATCCTTTACTGGGTATTTTATATCATTATCTTACATATTCTAGTAGTTCTCCAGGTAGTTCTTGTTTTTAATGGGTTGAGGTTTAGGGAGGTTAAGTAATTTGTCCAAGATCACTCAGTCACTCTGTGTGCTAACAGTGATAGGATTCAGACCTCATCTCTGCTGTTTTTGGTAATGTCTGTGATTCTTTTCTTTAACCTACACTGCCTCTATAATTTAGAAAATTTTCAGTGTGACTGGGTGGCTCAGTCAGGTGTCCAACTCTTGATCTCAGCTCAGGTCATGATCTCACGGTTCGTGAGTCCAAGCCCCGCATCGGGCTCTGTGCTGACAGCATGGAGCCTGCTTAGGATACCCACTCTCTCTCTATTTCTCTGTTCCTCCTCGACTTATGCTCTCACTCTCTCTCTCAAAATAAATAAATAAGTTAAAAAATTTTTTTTTAATTTTTCATGAGGAAATAAAATCATTGGTATATTAAAGTATATTGTTGTCTGGCTGTTTTTACCTTTCATATTAGGTGCTGGAAAACCCCCTATGTTTGGTGATTATGAAGCTCAGAGACACTGGCAAGAAATTACTTTTAATTTACCCATCAAACAATGGTATGGATAATTTTAACTTGATTTTATTGTTTATCATAGTTAATACAGATTATTTGAAGATACGTAGGAAAATGTATATAAAAGGAATATATATTCAAGGAAAATATGCTATTCCTCTTCAGCATACTCATTTTCCTGTATACTGATACCACTTATTACCTTGTATATTATAGGCTCATATTTAAAGTTTCATACTCCTGGAAGTTACCCATGTACTCAGTTAGCAGCTAAAATATGATGAGAACTTTGAGGAAAGAACACTGTATGCTTTAGAAGCTTCTCTGGTTTAGAACCATCTCTGGATGGTTCTAAACTAAAGAACCATCCTGGGCTAACGATATTTTTTCTGGTGGTTTCACAAACTTTGTTAGGAATGAATGAGATATGAAAGAGCTACTGCTTAGCGGTGAGGAGTGTAGGTGCTCAAATTAGACTGCCTGAGTTCAGATCCTTGTTCTATTGTCTACTAGCTGTAGCTGTGTGACCTTTGGCAAAATTACTTAACATTTCTGCCACGGTTTTTTCACTTGTAGAGTGGAAATGATAGAATACATATTTCACTGGGTTATTGTGAGTATTGAATAAAACAATACATGTAAAACACTTAGACTAGTGTTTGCAACAAGATGAGCTCTCAGGAAACGTTAGCTGTGGTTATATCTTTACTGAAATTTGTGCCTGTGTCATCTTTATCAAATATATTCCAATAACAATTGATAACATTGCTTATTGATTTATTGGATGCCTAATAGATTATTTTATTAGACTGGCTGTACAAACTGTTTACATTGTTCTGTTGATTGCTTTGATCACTGCTTTTTTTTTCCCCTTATATACTGATAAATTTATTCGAGTCTTTAGAATCCAAATGAACCATTTCATGTGATTTTATGTGAGGAAAGTATATGATACCTTTTTTTCCAGAGCTAAAATACATTTATTATTATTATTATTATTTTTTTTTTTCAATGTTTTTTATTTATTTTTGGGACAGAGAGAGACAGAGCATGAACGGGGGAGGGGCAGAGAGAGAGGGAGACACAGAATCGGAAACAGGCTCCAGGCTCCGAGCCATCAGCCCAGGGCCTGACGCGGGGCTCGAACTCACGGACCGCGAGACCGTGACCTGGCTGAAGTCGGACGCTTAACCGACTGCGCCACCCAGGCGCCCCTATTATTATTTTTAAATTAAAGTGTAATTGACATACAAAACCTGTTCCAGGTGTACATCATAGTGATTTGATATTTTTATACCTTACTCAGTGATCCCCATGATAAGTCTAATCACTTTCACCATACAAATTTATTACAATATTATTGACTATGTTCCCTGTGCTGTACATTACATCCCCATGACTTATTTTATAACTAGTTTGTACCTTTTAATCCCCTTCACCTATTTTGTCTACCTTCCAACCCCTTCCCACTCTGATAACCAACAGTTTCCTGTCCATATGACTCTGTTTCTGTTTTATTTGCTCATTTGTTTTCTAGATTGCATACATAAGTGAAATCATACAGTATTTGTCTTTCTCTGACTTTTTTCACTTAACAATACTTTCTAGGTCCATCCATGTTGTTGCAAATGGCAAGATTTTGTTCTTTTTTGTGGCTGAGTAATATTCCACTGCATATATTCAGTTGATCCTTGAACAACACAGGTTTGAAAAAACTACAGAGGTCTACTTATATGTGGATTAAAAAAAATTTTTTTTAATGTTTATTTTTGAGAGAGAGAGCATGAGCAGGGAGGGACAGAGAGAGAGGGAGACACAGAATCTGAAGCAGGCTCCAGGCTCTGAGCTGTCAGCCCAGAGCCTGACGCAGGGCTCGAACTCACGGACCGTGAGATCGTGACATGAGCTGAAGTCGGATGCTTAACTGACTAAGCCACCCAGGTGCCCCAGGGATTTTTAAAATAAGTATAGTACAGTGCTATAAATATATTTTCTCTTCCTTATGATTTTAATAGCATTTCTTGCTAGCTTACTTATTGTAAGAATACAGTATGTAATACATGTAATATACAAGATAAATGTTAATCAACTGTTATGTTATTGGTAAGGCTTTCAGTCAGCAGGCTATTGGTAGTTGAGTTTAGGAAATCAGAAGTTATACATGGATTTTCACTATGTTGGGGGTTTGGGGCAACTAACTTCTGCATTATTCAAGACTTATTTGTATATAACATTTTCTTTATCCATTGATCTAGCAATGGATACTTAGGTTATCTTGGCTATTGTAAATTATGCTATAATGAACATAGGGGTACATGTATCTTTTCAAATTGGTGTTTTCATTTTCTTTGGATAAATACCCAGAGGTGGAATTGCTAGATCATATGCTAGTACTATTTCTGATTTTTGAGGAACGTTTGTACTGTTTTCCATAGTGGTTGGACCAAGTTACATTCCCAGCAGTTCACGAGTTCCCTTTTCTCTACATCCTCTCCAACACTTGTTTCTTGTCTTTGTGATCTTAGCCAACCAATCTGACTGGTGTGAGGAGATGATACCTTATTGTGGTTTGGATTTGTATTTTTCTGATTATTAGTGATGTTGATTATCTTTTCATGTGACTGTTGGCTGTCTTTATGTCTTTGGAAAAATGGCTATTCAAGAATGTGCTCTGCCCATTTTTTAATTGGGTTGTTTGTTTTTTTTATTAAGTTTTGTAAGTTCTTTATGTATTTTGGACATTAACTACTTAGTGGATGTGTGATTTGCAAATACAGTAGGTTGCCTTTTTTTTTTTTAATTTTATTTTTAAGTAATCTTGCTATACCCAACATGGGGCCCAAACTCCCAACCCCAAGATAAAGAGTTGCACACCCTACCAATTGAGCCAGCCAGGTGCCTGCCTTTTTGTTTTGTTATTTTCCTTTACTGGAAAAGAACTGCTTTTTAGTTTGATGTAATCCCATTTTTTTTTTTTTTTTTTTAGCTTTTGTTGTCCTTGCCTTAAGATACTGTTCCAAAAATATAGTGCTCAGACTGATGTCAAAGAACTTATGCTTATGTTTTCTTCTAGTAGTTTTATAGTTTTAGTTCTTTTTTTTTAAAATTTTTTTTTAACGTTTATTTATTTTTGAGACAGAGACAGAGCATGAACG